GCTGCCCCCACCCGGCCACCTGCTTCGAGACAAGGCGCAGGGCGCCGCTGAGCCCCCTCGGAGGAAGAGCGCGGACGCCAGGCTGCTCTTCACCACCAGGCACGTTCAGGTCACCATGTTACAGCTGCCCAATTTCGGGATCCCAGTTGGGCTGGGGCAGATGTTTCAGGGAGTCACCTACCTGCGAGAGCAGCAACTGACCTGGTCAGAGCCCTGCTCCCTGCCCAACCACCCGCTCCGACGCGTTGCCCAGCTGCCGTTTCTTACGCGTGCGCTAGCAGAGCGTGTTTAATACCAACGGGTTTAACTGCACACAAGAGATCCCCACCTCCCCCCGCCGGCACGCAGATCATGAACGCGCCGATTCCAGTGCCCTCGTGCTTAGCGCGAGCTCCGTGCCCTCATCTCACGGATGAGCCGGCCGGTCCCCTTCAGCATCCACGAGTCCTGCAGGACCGTGCCGGTGGGTGTAAGGCACTGAGAGAGGGGAAACACAGCGTAATGGGAAGCAGAAGCGATGCCGCAGGTGATTTCAGTAGCACCGCGCCGAGTCCAGAGCAGCGTCATTCCCTTCCCCCTCACCTCGACACACCAGTAAATGCCAAGGGAGGGGGCCCAGGTCCTACGGACCTGGAGGAGACATCGCTGGGAATGGACCGGCAGATCTGCCCAACTCAGCTCAGTAAGGCTGTGACATGTGGACACCAGAAAAGCCCAGCTTGTCCATCTCCTCCACCTCCGGGGAGCATAAGGGTTCGATTTTGGCACATTATGCGCACTGGAGAAATGATGAAAAACAAGCATTTAAGAGCATTAAAGCTCTTTGTTTCTCTCCTCATTCTTTCCACTTCCTCAGCAAACCACTAGTTCAGAAATCCTAGACGCAGCGAGAGAAGGAATACGGCCCAAAGCCCATTTTCTTGTTTTTTCTCCAGCCCACATCTCGTCTCCTGAAATCTTCCCTAAGTGTTTTCTTCCTTCAACCCTCGCTTGTGTTAAACTCCAAGTACAAATTAGGCTTGCTCATGTTCAAATAAAACATGAGGCTTCCCAAGGACATAAAAATAACTGCAGCAAGTATGTATCAAACGTGCCCAGGAGGAAAACGGCCCCGAGTCAGAGCTGCATTTAAAGCACAGCGCTCAAGTCTCCCAGATTCAGGCATGCTTCGGTCTTGCCATGTCTGAGGATGCTTTTCTGAAGCCAGGGCAGAGAGCCAGCCCCCTCCTAAATCTGTCGGCTTTGTGGGTGTCAGCCCTGCCGGCTAAGCACTGGCTGATATTTAGTGCTTTCTTAAAGCTGACCCTTTCAGAGTAAATTGCGTGAGTGATGGGAGACCTTAGTCTGAGTGACGGGTGTGAAGAGCAGGACTCAAGAGTTAGACAACTGAGGGTAAAGAAACGCCTCTCTAGTTTTTCCATCCCTGTCTTCTCTCATACCCCCCACTTTTTTCCCATAAAGCAGTGTGGGTTTCTGAAATCACTTTTGTTTCGTGCGTGCCAAAGCGGCCATGCTAGATGACTGCAGAGATTCAGCAAACCAGCTCCCTGCCCTGAAACGCTCCAGATCCCCAGCGATCTGGAGGAAGCTGCAAGGCTGCTAGTC